GTAGCCGCTCGAGCGTTGACTTTGAATTTTATAAAAATGATGAGAAATTTTCGCCTACGAGCTTCATAGACAGGAAACTTAGGATATTTTTTTCAAGTCGATGCCGACGACCACTGCTGGCACTACTCCTCATACTTCTCGTGCCAGAGCAGTGAGCCCTGCTTCGACTCAAACAAAAATGACAGAATGAAGCAGTCGCAGACCGGGTGTTGTCGGTGTTGGCGGCGTTGTTGTTGTTGTCGCCGGCATTCTCCAACACTTCAATCAAGAACTTTCGGCCATCTCGGATCCTCTCGCTAAAAAACAAGAATCAAACCCCAACGGGGGCTTCCGGCGATCGCGCGTCATTACGGGGCACACCGTCCTATTTTTTTCTGGCAGCCATAGTCTACCGTCCCTCGGCCGGTTGATGGATCGATGGCGCGCTGATCCGACCGGGCTAGTATACCATGTCTACCTCGACAGAAACGGCAGTAGGCGCTAGGAGGAAGGTAGGTGCCGGCATAGCGCTCACAGCCACACACAGACCCACACGCGCTCGCTGACAGGTAGTAGAGCAGAATTGAAAACGACGACTGTTTGAGTGCTACTTAAACGTAATTGCGCATCTACGGGCGTCCAGTGAATTACACTAAATTGCCCATGGCCATTTGTTGAGGTTAGCACTCTCTCCTTCTTTTCGGTTATATTTTGGTCATTCACAGGCTATTTCGCGTACGGAAAAGCAGAACTACCCGAGACATCGACAGTGATCTCGTTGAGCAAGGCAACGGCTGCTGTAAGATAACGATCGCCTGCGCGTAGAGATCCTTGTACTGTGTAGTTGACACAGAACTACGAAACTCATGACGACTTCGTCTAATCTTCGTCATCGTGTCTCGATCGCATCCAATGCCGCAGCTATGCTCCGAAGTATCGCTCCAAGCGCGCTCAGGGGCTCAATTGAGAATGTAGAAGATCATGGATTAAATGATGATTCGTCTTAAGCTTTCCACCTTCTAGCATGCAATTGTTGAGAGAAATCGTAAATTGATAAAAACTCGCCGGTCGCGTCGACGCCATCGTCGCCGTCGCATCAACGGTATAGGTCCAATGCTGTCGCTCCAAAGTCGGCTCGACGAGCCGAGAGAGGATGAAGACTCGTGTTCACAATATGTTTACTAGCCTGAATGCCACTTTATATTCCTGTTTGGCTCCGGCCATTCCTCCATCAGGCACAATATGTGCATGAGATCGAGACAAAACAGAGAGAGTGGGCTAAACGGGCCGGCGACCATATCGGCTGGTGGATGAAATGCGTTCCTCGGTCCCTTCGTTCATCGAAGTATTAAATAAGAGATCGCAAGAAGAAACCAAGCAACAGACCTATTGAGCCGCTGTGGTAATAAAGTTATCACGGAGTTATGCGCTTCGATTGAAACTTATCGGCGCATATTTTACAACCCTCGACGATAATGGAGACGGGTCACGAGATGCCGATGATCGCTCGTCTAGTCGCTCGCGGTCTGCCTGTCTGCCTACCCTGCTGTTTGCCTGCCTCACTCAGTCGCTTTTGCTGGCAGACTGGCCCATTTTTTCAACTGACTGCCTACCAACTCGGGAACCTGTGCGTCCTTCTCGTCTCGCTCACTCCGATGCTCACGATCAGGCATCATCATCGAATCATCGGATTACGGAAGACGAATTTCGAAGGGTAGTCGACGGCACAGGCGGAGGAATACCACTCGGATTCAGGTGAATCGGAGTACAGATCCTGCCTCTCTCCATAGATGAGGTCAATTGATTGGAGTCCGTGCAAATCGTATTAATCCGTCTCTCCATTGCGTCCAGATTCGCGGATTTCAGACCCGATTCCAAGAATATGAACCCACGGGTCGGATGAGGGAGGAACCTCCGCGATCCATCGGAGCAAGCCTGTGATACCTCGATGATCTGACAATTCGATAACTGTCATGAGAAGATCGTTCGATCTCTTAATGAAGCTGCGATGGAAGTCTTCATTCCGTCGTTGCTCAGGACCCAGAAGTGCCCCGATAGTCGATGAATTCCCCACAGAAGTTCAAGTCTCCGCTCACCGCCTTCAATAAGAGTTCGCCACGGCTCACTTTCTCGATTCGACCATAATTTTTCCTCGAACGTTCTCGCCGAATATCTCGGAATTCGACGAATCCACACTCCCAATCAGGCGCCCAAGAATACCGGACTCCTCTGCAACGCTCCGCGACAGTGAGATCGTAGCACCAGAAATTGCATTCGGCAGGTCCAGGATGACTTGTCTCGAAGCGGCAGAGGTGCCCGAGGATGTCGCTCCCACACCTCGTAGGGATGGAGCGGCGCACGGAAGAGACTTCCAACCCATTTGCTTCAATTTTGGAATCTCTTTATGGACGACATCAAATATCCAGGCGTAGCCCGGCGGAAGCTCCGCCGACCACACAATGAAAATGATTCTGTTTGTTCGCCCGGTACTGAACCCGAGCGCCGCGTCAGGGCGCGAGATTTTTCTCGAGGCAGGCACAATATGTATTTGCTGAGTTTCGGTATCAATGAGTTGTCGCTCGATGCTTGCTACAGAATTGCATTGACACTAGATTCGACTCTTCTACTCACCCCCTTTGGGCTCCTTTTTCCGCCTCTTCCACCTTACCTCTCAGACCCCCTCGTGTAAAAGGCTCTGACAATCTAATCAGAGCTTAGTAATATTACATCACAGCTACCCTTTCGCAGGTCCCCATCGACTTGTTGTATGCAAATATGTGCTGCTTCTGCTGCACCTGTCCCAAATCAATCCTGTCCGACCCCTACGACCACCCCACTCCATACCCCTCACTTCTCCATGCGTCGGTCCATCAGTCTGCTCGCTCGCTCGAGCGCCCGCCCGCCCAACTCCCCGTTCCGCTGTCCCCTGTCCTTTGAGTGGGACAATTCCTAGCCCAGTTGGTGCGGCACTATTTGAAAGCCACCAAATGAGCGTATTAGCTTCGGCTCCCGCGCTTGTCATATGGGGGTGGAGGGCATGGGTCTCTAGGGGAGTCATGGGGTGTCAGACTCCATCAAATCTGTGCCCTCACGCTGAGGGGTCAATTAATCAGCGAAAAATGAAAGTTTCACAGTGAGTCGATTCGACTCCGATCTAATCTAAAGTAACTATAGGACGAAAGAGGGTTGGAGAGAATAAAACTTCTGAATTCTCCCCAGAGTGTAGTCTGAGTTAGCAGAGTCGACTCCAAGATTCCGAACAGGTGTTTACTTCCTCTCAGGCTTTGTCGGCCGAGATTTCGTCACGAGGGAGATATCCGAGACGAATCATTCGGCGTGGGATGTGGAATATCGTACCACTCCTGTTCGGGAATCATCAATTTGAGGAGAATACGACTCCTAGAAGTCAGGGTCAGGATCAAGCAAAATGCATCAATTCCTCTGAATGCTTTCGTTTCGGCGCTGTAGGTATAGTCGGTCAGTGAAACACGCGAAGTGTGAGCAGATGAGCGACCATCAGTATCACATTTCATCCAATTCAAACGGTCTCGCTTACATAACTGATAAGATAGTTCCGCTGTTGCTGGATAGGCGAACGAGGAGCACTCACGCCATGCATCTCGTGTTCATGTGCTAGCCCATGGTTGCTGCTCTGAATCCACCGTAGGACGGTGAATGGGAGAACGCGGAGCCGACAATATCAGAGACAACGACGTGCCCTAAAATACTCTGTCCGGCAGAGTAGGAGCTGAAATTCTCCGTCCTGTCAAGCAAAGGTATGTCCGACTTCTGCCGGTCACGCTTTTCAAATGCTCCTCGCAAGGCTCAAGTGGAGCGGGAACGCCACCGACTTCTGCACTCGGCGCTTCGTGGAATGAGTGTGAATAGATATGTTTGAGCACCGGAGCACCGGCGGGACGGCCACAAGCAGGACAGATAATTTTTTCTCTCGCATTTCTTGCTGACTCTGATGTGGTATCGTTCGAGCTACGACCCTTGAGAAACCCTATGATCCGCGGAGTTCCCTCAGACAGCACACGCGGTCCCAAGTCCGTCTGGAAAGGGACGAGGAGCTGCCTCTGAAGTGAAAACATTCCCTTCCATCATTTTCCATTGGGAAGGAATGGAAACATGCTCACACGTAACGGGGTTTCTGATGCGACTCCCGCAGGTGCCGCGCAGCTCTTTGTGTAGATGGCGGAGCAGATCCATTAGGCTGCGGGCTCTGGGGCTAACCGCTAACGCAACAAAAATGACATTTTCCACCTCAAAAGAGCCAGGTCGGAGCTCAACAGCGGCAGAAGCCGACGAAGCCGATCTTTGTACGGAGAGGCAGGAAAGACGGACGAGAGGACGAGTGAGCGTGTGACACGCGAGATACTCGTCAAGTACCGCAAGTAGGTGGCGGCGACATAACGACAACAAAATCAACGACGGCGACAACTCAATCTGGCGTTTCCTCTCTGACAGTTTTTCGTTGAAAACTCTGAGAGGGACCTATCGTGACCGTGACGAGACGGTGGGATGAGAATCGCGGAATTAGCGCTGGTAATTCATCACAACCGAGTAGACGAAAAGTGAGCTTTTTGTCTGCCTCGATCAGGGTCGCGATCGCTGATGATGATTTCCTTCCCGTTTTCGTAAATATTCGTCGCGACTCGGAGAAACGACGCTCGATGTAACCGTGCGCATGAGACCCAGCACGTGAAACACTCGATGACAGTATAGAATAGATATTCCAAATCCGAAACGTGCAGAACACCGAAAACTGGCAGAGGTATCGAAACCCGACGGGTTGTTCAAATGTCTCGTTCTCTTATCAATCTACACATCACCGAGGGTCCCACGACTCACGCAGGATCTACCTATGTTAAAGGACGACGAGGGATACTTCTGTTGAACATCACGAATCACGACTTACGAATCGAACAAGCGCTCCTCGAGTCGAATTTCGCAAACCCGGGAGTCGAATAACAGTAATGATGTTTCGGAACTATGGAAGATGTCGGAAAGTTCCTCACCTTTATCCAGTAATCCTGCTGAGCCATTCTCGGGATGATCCAGGAGAGACAGGGGATCGAGGTGTTTCGGAAGCCTTTGCTTCCTCCGGGTTGACATCTTCTCGAAGCTGATTGCAACGGGTTCGATGTTCTCGGGCCAATTTTAGTACTGACGACCGAACTCCTTCTCACTACTGTATTACCATCATGGAGCTTTCTCCGACGTCGGACGCCTGTTCGCTGGTCGCAAGGTCTCGACTATTCGCTCGAGAATCCCTCTTTCTGAAAGCACTCTGAAGTCGCGCTCAGGGAATATTTTCGTGATCTCCCTCAGATGTTCGCTTCCATTATGCTGCGGGCGACGATGTATGCAGCGAGAAGGATTCATTCATACATGATGAGGCGCTCGTTGCATGAGTAGGGCCCTCGAGCTCAAACTCCAGTATCGGAGGTTTCCGTCGAAATCTTCTCTTGTCGAGCTCTCCTCCGCGGAACACACGCACGCACGTTGCCGGTCGTTGACGCTAGAGCGGAGATCTATCAATTGCCGACCAGATAGAGAGTTCTGATGATTTCGACTTGGAGAGTATAGACGGCCGGCGGGATTCGCACAAACTTCAGGACACTGTTTACAGGGTGTTCGAGGTCCGGTCTGGATCCGAGTGCAGACCGGGCCCCGAAGTGGTGTGGCCTGCGACCCGGAGACCCAGGATGGGAGTTGCGCGGGGCTGAGCACTTTGAGGATCAATCGGTTGATGGCGAAACTATAGAACGAACAAACACGCACACACACACACTATTGCTGCTGTCGTTTCTGTTGATGTCGCTGCCGCCACCGCTTGCTCCGCACCGACCAGGTTTATCTATCAATCAATTACTCAGTCAGTTCAGCAACCAAGTCAATCAATAGGTCAGTGAGTTCATCCAGTCCGACCACCGTCTGTTTGTCAATTCAAGGATGGATCGGTGGGTCCCGAGCGCGGGGCTCAGAGCGACATCCACATCTCATGTCACTTGGCAACAATAGCTACGAGAGCGATTGCTAGAAAACTGTCGTTTGTTTGAGCCGCCAGAGGGCGCGTTGGGACGAACCACGGCGCCATTTTTGCTTCCCTCTCTCAATCCATCAGCCAATGAGAAGCCACAGCGGCCGCCCGCTACCGACTGAGCATTTGTCGAAATATGAGAGTTATGATTGGTGTATGATACATATTTTTCGAAGGCGGAGCCTCCCGCGCCGCCGAGCGCCGCCCACTTGACACTCACACACACTTTTAGAGCGACGACAGACACGGCTTTACCGACGGACGCATGAATGCTGTTTGTCGAATCGGGCTGAATTTAAGCGAGAATCGGCACGAGCGGTTCGCTCCGTGGCAGTTTTGTTGAGATGATTGATTCCAATGGATGGACCGGAACACGGCCGATTTTTGAGGTCTTCGTGTCTATCGATCCGATCGACGATTTCTTGAGACGACAAGAGACAACCGAAGACCGCTGAGATAACCGATGAAGATGAGCATAGCGGAGAATCACAGCACGATTGGCAGTCTGGGTAGTCCCTTCGCCGGACGACACCCATGGCCACGAGGACTCTCAATGCGATGAACACAGTATCGAAAATCAACACGGATGGTGATTGTGAGTTATCAGGCCGATCAGTCATACAATGGACGAGTTCCCACGAGGAACGGCTTCCGAACTCATTCGGATCTCAAACTCAAATCTCGAGGCGATCTGGAGACCGATCCTCTGCAATATTCGCCCGAAAAATTCGCAACGTAAGAAAGGAGCGAAAGATGAGGGAATTTCCGTAATCTGAGGCCTCATCACGGCTTGATCTTGGATTCTGTGTTTCTCGATCGCGCGTTCTGGGAGTGGGAGGATTCCCGAGTTTGACCAATGACCCAAGCCCTAGAGACAGCCAGAGCAACGTAATAGTGAGCTGCAGCTGCCTTCGCGCCACCCGATGACATAGCAGCACTCGAAAAGTTCCGAACAACAGCTTTCGGAGTCACGATTGTGAGCGAATTATGCGCGACATGACGCCGTTCCATCCGGAGCAACTCCATTGATCCATGAACCACACCGGCCGACAATGACGACTCCAAATTCAACAACGACGACGAAGACGATGACGACTTGCATGTGTCCCGCACTCGAGGATGAATAGAATGGGAACAAGAGAGGTGCGAGAGTGTATGATTGCGCCCAGCATATGGACGAAACGGGTGAAGTGAAGGACGAACTCACAGCTTATGGGTCAAGAATTGGGACAGCTTTTACTGTCCACAATCAGCGCGAAGAGAAATAAATTGGCCACATCCTGGAAGGATAAGCTGTTTCGAATGCATCGCTTTCCGCATGAATTATGCACAGTGCGGCATTCGAGATCGCCCGAAACTAGGACAAGTCGAGGAAAAAGTCATGTCGGGTCGCTGGTGGGTGGGTGGTCCGACAGTCTTGAGGTCGATACGCAACAGTCACGGCGAAACCCCCGCTTGCACCGGCGAATGGTATCAATATCAACTCAAGAGTTCAAGCAGGTTCTCCGGTCTCTCTCAGTCAGAGGCACGAATCGTCAGCGGACCCGCATGAGGAAGATACCTTCCGTACGCATCTAGATTGAGCATATTCCTGAAAGCTATGCTCTACCCCTCAAGCTATGCTCTCCGAGAAGAATCAGTGGCCGTACGAGTGGCCGCAGACTTTTCATTGAGAACCCTCCATCGTGGAGCCGTCTGTGAGTGAGTAGAGGGAAGTCGTGCCTCTAACACTGAAATTCTTCGAGGGAAGAGGTCCCGCTCAAGTTGTACAGGTGAAAAGCTACCGGTGGCGGACGCGCGATACTGGAGGAGTGTGAACTTCAATTGTATCGGTCCAACGTGGAGGGAGACCATCCCAAGAATCAGCGTGAAAAGGGAATACGGGGGTCCTGTTAAGACGACGATTCTCGTGATTGAGCTGAGCAGAGGGAGCATCCTCTACAACTCTATAGGATCCGGAGAGTGTAATTAGAAACGGGTACCTCTTCATTCTCCTGAGTGTGGGGATACCGAGCTCACCGTTTTTCCTGTTCCCCATTCGGTGCTAGGTAATGGCTAATGACCGCGGAAATCAGAAAAACCGTAGTCGAAGATTGGTCCGTTTTATCAGATAGGTCGACGTCGAAAAAGTATCACGAGGACAGATTTCGGCTCTCAGATTCAGGGTGATTTTCCCCTGCTGTCCAACATGGTGAGGTTATTTTATTGCTATGCCGATCCCAATCCCTCCGACATCTACGGCCTTCAGCGATTGTATTTCCTTCTTGAGACTCTGAGTCTCCACAGTAGGTGGCATCACCGTAATGATCGGCTCGAACCAAATGGCATCGGTAAGCCGCAACTTCACAGCGCAGGAACTCGACTTTGATGCGAAAAATAAAGTTACGACTAGAAAGTGACGGAGCCCTCCCCAAGCTCACATCGTTGATACGCTGAGCTCTCGAAAGGCGGAACCTGGCGAGAGTCATTCGGCTTGTTATTTCATTTAGGTTTGTCTCCTCCGGGTTAGTAGACCACACCAAGCGAGCCAGCGATCGTCAAAAAAGAGACAAACGAGGATTTGTTCAAGCTTTTATTCGCCCGGTCCGTCGTCGAGGCCTTCGGGTGAGCCTGAATCCGTCTTCGCTGATATCTGCGTCCTCGAGAACGAAACGTGAAAAAGACGAGGTTTGATACTGCTTTCAAACTGCAGGAGATCAAGTGCGGAATATTTTCGGGGCATTTCTTTGAGAACAAGCGACGCATCGCTTCGCAGCTAGACACTCGAACCAACTCGCTCGCCCGAGCCATACTGAGGGGTACGGGGACGACAAATTTACAACACGACCGAATTCACCGAACGATTTTTATCGATTTCTGTGCTAACGTCGCTCAAACCAGCGACAATCACATACGGATTCAGACACAAAAACTACGGCCCGTAAAATCCCGAAGTCTTAGGCGCGATATTTCCATGAGAACTTACTGCAATCGTAGATATCGTCTACGACGCATTCGATACCTGAAGTCTCGCATGCCCCTCATCAGGGTTGTCCGAGACCCGTGATTTCTTCAGTATCGTCCGAAAAGGATCCTCTGCACGAATCAGGGGAGACTCATCTCCGAGTTGAGATCCTCTCTCCTGCATTCGAGAACTGCGGAAATCCGTGGGTGTAGAAATTTCCAATGAACCAGTTCCTTCACTGGAGCTTTTCAGATCGATTTCACGAAACTCCCCACGCGCGTCTCCAGCCCTTTTATCGATCAAAATATTGATCCTCCTCATCTCAATTATTATTATCCTAGCCTCTCTCAAGCCCAGGATCAGAACTTTTCAACATTCCCTCCCGATCGGTGAGGAGCCTGTTTGGCGATATTATACATTTTATTATATTATATGAAGCTCGATCGTTGCGACTTACGATGCTGATGGATTCGACTGAGCTCGACGAGAAGCTTCTCCGAGCTATTCGACCGGATGGCGGCCAAGCCATACATCAGCTCGAGGGAATTAGCTTGCCTTCGACATCTCTCATGATTCTTCCGCGCTCGATCTTCCGACATTTCTGAGTAATCAGCGAGCAGGAAGAGTGATTTTTTTTGAACGAAAAATGCGCGGGACGAGAGAGACGGGATTGTCGACGATAAGAACAGAATCGGGGAAAACGCAGGGTTAAAAAATCGTAACCTGCCACTGACACTCCCGTAGTGCGTAGGTACTTGGAAAAGGTTTGCTGGCCCTAACGCACCACGACGATGAGTTTTCCCTCAGCAATATATCTTCTCTCGTCTGATTCGAGGAGGATTAGATGAATCATTTGCCGAATGAAGTCGCGGTGCCGGGAGCGCCGATCGAGCTCACTCCGATCGAGTCAAGCTCTGTCGTTTGTCGTGGCTGAGCTCGCCGGAAGAATAAGACGGTTCTTCGCAACCTCCAGAACTCCGTCGAATGCCGATTTCCGCAGAGCGATCATGCTCGTTGACTGAGCCATCTTCGAGATCAGCTCCGACTGATGTGACATTTCGGGAGCTTCCAAGACCGACTGAACAGAACTGAGAGTCGGCTGTGAGTTAGTGAAGTCTTCAAAACCTC